CAACACTGATTGAGAGTCAGACCTAAACATTTCACACTGCTGTAACTTTTATTCATGTATCTTGGCTTTTAAAAGTCATTTCATAATATGTTTCTTAATGTCTTTTTGTAAAGCACTTTGAATTGCCTTCTGAATGTTGTCTATTTGTTCCATTATCATTTCCAATCCCAATAACTCAAACCACTCCCATCCATTCTGCTGCTGCAGTTTGCTTTGCTTTTATTAAGTTAACTCAGGGGTAACGACTGGAGGAAGGTGGGGAAACAGGAAGTGATTTTAAGACGAGTCGACCACCCGTCTGATGGACCCCACGGCGGGATGAAGCGCCCCCCACTCTGCGGGACGTCTGTACTCGCCCTTCTCCAGCAGGTACTGGCGCCCCCTGTAGTTCGAGTGCTCGTAGAAAACCCAGACGCCGTCCTGCACGTGCGCCGAGTGGAGGTCCCGGTAGCGCCAGCGGTCCATCAGGTTGGGCATGTCGTCGCCGAACTCGATCATCTGGCCGCTGAAGTCCGGACGCTCGTAGATGCGGATCCTGTGCATGCTGGAAGGCTGAAATTATAATGTTTTGTTAGTGAGCTTTAAATAAGATAAGAGATAGATAAGATACTTTATTGATCCCAATTTCGAGAAAGTTTGTGTTGCAGCAGCATAAAAGACAAGGCATTGTACAATACAAATTAAAAAGACTAGAAATCAACGAAAAAGTAGAAAATATACATGTTGAATTTACAAATGAACAATAACAAAAACAAAATATAAAGCAAGTTAGCTGAAAGATGAGCTGGTGGACAGATTTGTTTTACTTTTGGACTGAGCCAGGCTAGCTTTTACCCCTGTCTTAAGTCTTTATGCTAAGCTTGGAGGTTTTGTTTGAGTGTTTCTATGGGATAAAATATATTATAAAACACCAAATATGTATTTAATGTGAATGCAATGGTACTACCAACTGTTATATATAATTAAAGTCAGAAAACAACTCCAAAATATCACAAATGAGTGAATAAAGATACAGAAAACTAAACTAATGTAATAACCAGCTTCTTAGTTGGTCTGAAATAATGTTCACAAGCTAAATAAACCCCTACACATTTAAATAAAACATTAAAACACATACTATAAGCTCAGCTAAAACTATTTTCTGTTTTTGAGGGGTCTCAACACTGGACAGGTGTTTTTGTTTGTCTGTTTGTCTGTTTTTGTTTGTCTGTTTGTCTTCTGTCTGTGGAAATTTGTTTGCCCTGGTGTTAAGCAGTGAGCAGCATTGTTACTCTACCTATTTTTCTATGAAGTGAAGATTTGTTTACCTACTTTTGACACATGCTCTGAGAATAACTGTATGCTGTTGAAAAAACCCAATACACAAAGTTTAAAAAATAAAAAAAGCTTTTCCCCCTGTCTTCAGTCTTTAGTCTTCAGTCTTTATGCTAAGCTTGGAGGTTTTGTTTTAGTGTTTCTATGGCTGAAGAAACCAATGTGAGTTTCTTCAGCCAAAATATCCGAAATGTTTGAATAAAGAAACAGAAAAACGTAATAACCAGCTTCTTAGTTAGTCTGAAATAATGTTCACAAGCTAAATAAACCCCTACACATTTAAATAAAACATTAAAACACATACTACTATAAGCTCAGCTAAATCTATTTCCTCACATGTCTGATGAGTCTGCAGGAGCGGATGGTGTCGTTGAAGCCGTTCCAGCTCTGGTAGTTGGGGTACTCGCCCCTCATGAGCACGTACTGGTAGCCCAGGTATTGGGGTCTCTCGTAGAGGACCCAGGCCCCCCCCTCCACCCGGAGGGAGTTGCAGTGCTGGATGTGAGAGTTGAGCTCCGGACAGTCGCCGCTGCACTCATAGTGATGGCCCTTAAAGTTATTCTCCTCGTAGAAGATGATCTAGAAACCAAATCATGAATGGTTATGAGCAGGACCTGTGAACTCATACTTGTTATTTCTTGTCATTGCAAAAGCTATTTCTTTTTTGGCTGTTTTGTGACGAACATGATGACGATGACCTAATCTTTTATTTTCACAAAAATGTAAGCTAGAGGGGGAACAGAAACATTTGTTTAAGCTACTTCTTGAACATGACAGAGAATATTTGAGAATGTATTTATTTTTGATCTTTTTGTACCTTGAACGGCTTTTTAGGAATCACAACTTAACATATCAATCATCATCAATTAAGAGACAGCCATAAATAAAGGTCTTAAGGAGATATTTAAAGAAAGATACTATCCTTTCCCGCATGCTAGCATTTAGCATGTGGTGCATCGTATCATTGTTACTCTCACCTTCCCTGTGCGCTCCATGGTCACCTTCTGTTCCTCCTCACACGATCAAATCAAAGCGCCTCGTTCTCCCTCCATCCCCGATGCTCCACTTTATTATACAGGCGGATTAAATGCACTGCCAGGAAAACCATTGTCATGCAAATGAGCTCTCCATTAACTTTGCCACATTAGCTGAGGCTGCAATTGTTTCAAAATCCATGTCTGCTGTTTGATTTCTCCTGTGGGTGATGCAGAAATTGCGAATGAATGATGTCAATGTGTTTCATCTCAAACTGTATTATTTGATGCACTCGGCACATTGTGTTGTCTCATTATATTGTATCTCATTGGCAACACCGAATACAAACAAAACGAACAGCACATTGATTAAATGATAGACATATCTAATTTAGTTTATACTCACTTACTGCTGCGGCTGAGGTACGTGTGCATGTTACTGGAGTCATTAACAGATTTTGGGAATCGACGCTGGAAGTATTCGTCCTGGTAGAAACGGATCTGAACAAACAACGTATGTGTACAAGGCGGTGAAATGGCTTCTACTTGAGCCAAGTTTTAAGAGACAGTTTTGCCAAATGAGTACAAAAAAATGCATCCACAAAGTGCAAAGAGTAGTATGAGGTTTCAATAAATTGACATATCAGAGCAATGAGTATACACATTTAGAAGAATATGGCATAAACAGTTTGATGCTTCATTAAATATGTGGTATTAAATATATAAAAGGTCACTTCATTATGAGTTTTGTGTTGTCTCCAATACTCTCATTACACAGAACAATTACCACATGGTTTGCTTTGTGTCACCTGGATAAATCAGTCAGTGATTCAGATATGTATCCCGGTTTATCACATTGTTCTGAAGCTGGGAATCCTGTTTCCTGAACAATGCAAAGCGGAAAGCATTGCGGCAAAGCATGCTGACTAAACAACGGCACTGCCAGACATCTGTTTGATATGAAACGAGCTGAGTCAGCGAGTCGAGAATTGTCCTTTTAGACAAAGAAAAGCGTCTTTATATTAAACACGGTGCACTCACTCTTGACCTTGGAAATAGTGGCTCATTATTTTAGTTTGATAATAGTTATGATATTGATGTTAAGCGACCTCAGAAAAAGCAAAACATCAGATTAATCCAAATGACTTGAGTATTTAGATCTGAATATGGAAAAAGACTAGCGCTGAATAACAATAATACTGTTTTTCAATTCAAAATTATAATTAATTCCCAGAGGATGAATCCAACTAGCCTCTAGATCCAGTCAGGACTATTCTACAATGTTTAATAATCCCATTTGTACACAAGAAATATAAGATCTAAAAAGGCAGATTGCACATTCATGCTCCTCAGAGGACGAACCATTTGGAGTTTGGACCCTTCCTGTTCTTTAATTCGACACTAATCTAGGTAAAATTGCCACATGCATGCTGTTCATTTTGTATCTAAAATGTGTGTTATTGGCTTCAGTGTACTTGTTTTTATTAACTATTTTCCTGTTCCCTCTTCAACAAGAGAAACATGCAGAGATATAGCAGCTTCATGAAGAAACTGACTGATAAATCTTAGAGATATTCAGAGGATAACTCCACCAATTGTACACGTTAAGTGAATGTATTAGTTTTAGTTTAGAGCTTGAACTTATAACAGGAAGTGTGTGTGACCATGGAGTTTAAATGTGTGGACAATAAGCAAACGGGGAGTGTCTGACAAAACTGATTTGCATAATGGGAGGATATCTTTTAAAACATAATATCATCTTTGTTCAGTCCATACAAATCCCTGTTTTTGACCCTGTTAGTGTTGAAAATACCATTTGTCTAGAGTTATGTGTGAATTCTTGTGTTTTCAGAACATGCTTGCACAAAGTCTACAATCAGAACCATTAGATTTCAGCTTTCTTTATTTCCCCGTACATTCAGAGTTAACAGGAGTCCATGATGCGCCTCATGGAGCTGAACCTCGTCATGTTGCTCATCCCCATCTCTCTGAGGTTCCTGTACTCTCCTGGCCTCAGGTACATCATCTTGCCTCTGTAGTTGGGCTGCTCGAACATCAGCCAGTGGCCCTCCATCACGTTGCAGGACTGGCACTCGTTCATGCGGAAACGATCCTGCATGTTGTCACAGTCGTCCATCAGCTCGTGCATCTGGCCTCCGAAGTTCTCCTTCTCGTAGATCTTCATCCTGAAGGGTCCCTTGTGCTGTAGGTGAAGATACGTCAGGATAATCAGGGCATTAAAGCATCAGATCCACGGGTTAATGCCCTGATTGTCTCAAGAAAACAACCTGTTATCGTGAAAAAACCACTGTGATGGTTGATACAACACTATTGTAACAACACTGGTTCTGGGCCTAAGTACCGGGAATCTTAAGAGACGTTACAATATTCATTTTGTTATTTTAAAGACTCACAAAATGGGTTTGCAAACACCATTAATGGCAGCCATGTTCCCATCAAATGTACAGGCTTCCTCAGCAAATGCAACCTGGGTTTAGAATATTTTATGACAGATTTCCTGCAAGCATTTTGCATTTGCTTAACTTTAACCTGTGCTGTCGACCAATAGAAATGTCTGATAGTCCAATATCAGCTCAGCCAATTTACAAAGTAGTTTTTGTTGCAAGTAATTGTAATTTGTGGCTTACTTATTGCAGCTGAGAGCGATAAACCTACCGTGGGGATCATGCGACTGGACCTGATGCAGTCGCTCATAGTCATGCCCATCAGGCGCTGGTTGTCAGGGTACTCGCCCCTCCTCACCAGCACCTGTTGGCCCATGAAGTTGGGCTTCTCGTAGACCATGAAGAGGCCGTTCTCCACCCTGCAGGAGTTGCACCTGCTCAGGTAGGAGGTGAGCTCAGGGCAGTCGTTGCTGGTCTCATAGGAGCGACCCTGGAAGTTCTTCTCCTCAAAGAATGTGATCTGCAAACAACAATGTGGACCTGAGTTTCCAGACAACACCTCTTCCATGTTTCTGTGATGTTTCGAAAGCTTCACTTACCCTGCCCATGTCCATGATTATTGTGTGCTGATTTCAGATGTACTGCTTCAACATCGACCCGTTTCCCTTTTTATACATCGCACGGCCGTAGCATTTCCACATGGCTTGTGCTGAAACCTTTGAGTCATCACTCTATATTGTGGCTCTGCGCAGCACCATAGGGTGGCAGATTTCACTGTATGCCAGATTCTGCAATAGCTATTGTGAATATTGGGTTTATATGTGCTTCTAGAAACTTCAACTATTTATTCATGTGCGTTCCTTAAGAGGTGAACAACTATTACAACTATTAAATACAACTACATTAAAAAACATAATTTGAGGATTGTTTTGCTTCTGTTATGACCTGAATTGACCTCTCAAAACTACATTTAACATACAATAACTATTCAGGTGGGCTGTTAAAAATGAAAGCAAGGCCAGGTGAACTTAGTGATGAGTCATGATGTTTTGCACAAAGGTGTGTGAAGTGATCTGCATCTGATACTGTATATAAAAGTGGTGCTGGGTTGTCATCATTTGCTAAAACTAAAAGCGTAACCATGGGCAGGGTAAATAATATCACATGTTTGTATCATTGGTGCAGTAAAAGTCTATTAAACTCACGAATCTAACTTTTCATGCATGTTTTTTGTTTGCAGATTATTTTCTATGAAGAAAGGGACTTCCAGGGTCGTTCCCATGAGTGCAGCAGCGACTGCACCGACATCCACATGCACCTGAACCGCTGCAACTCCTGCAGGGTGGACAACGGCTGCTTCGTGGTGTACGAGCGCCACAACTACATGGGCAATCAGGTGTTCTTGAAGAGAGGGGAGTACTCCGACTTTCAGCGCATGGGAAGCATGATGGGAATGCAGGGCATGGCTATGGATAACATCCGCTCCTGTCGCATGACCCCCACGGTAAGAAGTTCGAAGATACATTTGAACGGTCCAAAGACATGTTTGGCTCATTTAAAGCTGGCAAACTCCGCCTCCAGTGCAAGAAAGGTAGTTTAGAAAAGCATTGTATTGATATCTTCTCCTTATTTTTCTCCAACAGCACAGGGGCCCCTTCAGGATGAGGATCTACGAAAGGGAGAACTACGGAGGCCAGATGCACGAGCTGATTGACGACATCGAGTCTCTGCAGGATCGTTTCCTAATGTCTGACTGCCAGTCCTGCCAAGTGATGGACGGCCACTGGCTGATGTTTGAGCAGCCCAACTTCAAAGGCAAGATGCTGTACGTGATGCCCGCAGAGTACAGGAGCCTCAGAGACTCTGCAGCAAGCAACATGTCCAGAATCAGCTCCATCAGGCGCATCATGGACATGTGCTGATTGTTGTGTAATTAAAGAAACTGTGGGGGAAGAATAAAAACCATATTTTGAAGTATCTCTCTGCTGTTTTGTAGTTTACTTTATGTGGAGTCAGACTACATACTTTGCTAGTGATAGATTATGATTTTTGAATAAAGATTTATCTTAAACGCAGTTATAAAACATTTCATACCTCTTTGATTCCACACTAAAAAGCATTCTTAAATAATGTTAATATTACTATTTATTACATGGCTTAGTTGAATACTCGATTCTGATTGGTCAATTCAGAACACGTGACACATTGTTAATCCAGTAGTACAGACCGCTGTCAAGCACTTATTGACCGTTGTTAAGGACGCTCACATCTGCACAAAGAAGTCAGTTCGATTTAACTGTATACAGTTTGGCTGAAAAGCAGAAGTAACGGGGCAGAAACCCTAATTTTTACGCAACGGTCCAGAGTTTTTTTTTTCTTAGCGGAAGAAATACGATAATTTTTAAGTCAATAAAATCATTTCAATGAATATTGGGAGTCGAGTCATTAGTTTGTTTTGTATATGGGCGTGTAATCGCGTCGGGCTCCCTGATGAGCCTGTCGGGTGTTCTTTTCCCCATAATGACCGCCTCGCTGCACATTATCCCTTACGTAGTGCAGTGCCCGGTTCAAACTGGCCTGTTCATAATTGGCCAATAGTTGGACCAATTGCAGCTATTTCAAACCAAGTAAATCACACATGATTCGACAGACATTCGGCCTTAACTTCATTAACATTCAAGTCACACACACCTCCATTTTAAAGGCTTTAGTGCAGGGGTGACAAACTGAAATACACAGTGGGCCAAAATAAAAAAATGGGTAGGCTACTAGTCGAGGGCCGGACTGGTTCAATGTTTATGCAAAACTTATTGAAATGAACTTATTGCACATATTCAACCTGGAACTAACAACGCTTAAATTATTGCCTATAAAAACAACATTAAACATTAAATAATCAGTTGCATTCATTTCTTATGGCTCTATCTGCAGCTTTTCCAGAGTCATTTCTTATGATTACATTTTCCCACAGGCCAACAACAGCTTCAAAAAAACTATTTCCCTCAAAGAGAAAAACAAACATGCCCTGTTGCCGCAAGAAAGAAACATCCATTAAACTCAGTGTGCTGCTCTGTGATGCTAGTTCAGATACTTGGCATCTCATCTTGGGTGCAAGGTCATCAATGTTTGGGCTCAGGCTCTGAGCTGAGGAGACCCTCAGGATGGAGTGAAGGTGTGCGTGCAATATACCGGCAGGCCAGATCTAATAGTAATTAGAAATTATCCTGCGGGCCGAAATTAAATCCACCACGGGCCTGATTTGGTCCCCGGGCCTTGAGTTTGACACGTGTGTTTTAGTGGATAACCCTTTTACCAAAACTCCCAAGAAATGTTCGTCTGCCGTCATTGCAACGGTTCCTAATTCAGTAGATAACATAAATCTATGAGGTTGCAGACGGCAAAGCAACTTAAGGTAACATATAAAACCTAAAAGGGTCCTTTATAGGGCTAGAGTTTGGTCTGTCCCTTCTGGGCTACTGTAGAAACATGGTGGCAGATTAATTGTTCCCAATCGAAGCCAATAAAAAACATGATTCTTAGTTTTAAGTGATTCATAAAAACATTGTTATGAAAATGAAATTCCATTCCTGTCAATAAACCCTCCTAAATCCTACACACTGGTTCTTTTAATTCAATAGGTTGTATCCCCATGAGAACATGAATGTATGTTATATTTTGCGTTATAATGTGTACAAGCTGACAACACAGTGTCCTAAATTGGATGCTTTCTACCTCCGAGAAGCATGAATGTAGTCAGATAGTATATTGTAGTGTTCTGTAAATAACATTTTGCACAAGAGGGCATTGTGGCTGAAAGATAAGCAGAACCACAACATGCTGAGATTATAGGTCTTCTCAAACATCAATAAGGGATGTAATGTATATACTTTATTTTTCTAAATTCATTATTTGTTGGTCGTTTTACGGCTCCCTTTTGGCTAATTTGAGTAATTGATTCTGAGAGAAGAATTAGGGGCCGGTGTGTAGGAGCCGCATTTAAGTTTATTTTGTTTTGATTTATTTGGAACCTTTATTAATGCATTTTTCTGTTTCAGTAAGAGGTGTGCTTTGCTCAGGTGAAGGGGGCGGGGCTAAGGCTTTAAGTTGGAGGTGCGGTGTGTGACGGGAGAGCAGCAGGCAGCAGCAATACCGTTATTGACACGCAGACGCAACCTTATACTTAGTCAAATAACCAATTGTAACCCATGTGCAAAGATGTGTCACAACTAAAAATCATAGCAGCGAATGGCAGCAAACATCCTCAGTGTATTGAACTACGCTGTGTTTCATGAATTCTACTTTTCTTAAGGAAGAATTGTGTTTCAAAAGTGATGTATTTGAGCTTAAGTCAATGCATTTAGTGTAATTTTGCCTCGTTTATCCACTGTTCCCATATAATGAAACTGAAAACAAAAGTAATGCAGTAACTAGAGTTTGCTTTGTGACTGCACCACTACTGTTTAATCCGCGCACAGCTTTGATGTATAATACAGTAGGGACTTCCGTGCCGATGAGCTGAGTCATGGTATTTTGTACAATTGAGGGGCAGATTCTTTTGATGTCACATGATGCATAAAAGCCAGCGCGCCAGTGGGTAGAACAACAGAAATCAAAAACCGAGACCATGAGCGGAAAGGTAATGAAGAGAGGAGAGATCTATTTACTGCTAAATATTATTCTGTATATACCTGGCTGCTATATCTTCACAACTGTTACAGGATGTTTGTGTAACTATAATATTATTTTATGCATGCTTCTTAGTTAACATTAAGCTGCTTTTGGCTCTTTTCTGCTGTAACAATGTACATATCCCCTCTGCGGGACTAATAATGATTCTATGTAGTTTCTGCCATGCAACTGTGTGTAAACTGAACAGCACTCACCTTTAGCTCTCAGAGGTAATTACCCAATGTGTGTCTTTCTCTCTAGATCGTCTTTTTCGAGGGAAGGAACTTCCAGGGTCGCTCCTATGAGTGCATGAGCGACTGCTCTGAGATCTCCTCTCATCTGGGCCGATGCAGCTCCTGCAGGGTGGAGAGCGGGACGTTCATGGTCTACGATCAGCCCAACTTCACGGGCCAGCAGCACCTCCTCACCAGGGGAGAGTACCCTGAGTACCAGAACACCATCGGCTTCAATGAGTGCATTCAGTCCTGCCGCATGGTCCCTGAGGTAAAGCACAATATTACTAACAAAGAACAGACAGAGGCAGTAGGCTAATGGAAAGAGAGACGTGAGAAATATGTTTTGGTGGTAGTCTTACCCAGAAGCAGATGAAAATATCCGGATCAAATTCAATTCTGTGCCTCCAGTAGTGATATTTCCACGATGGGTAAATAGGAGAGGAACTGCTAGCTTTATCGGGTTGAGATTTTTAGTTTTTTTCCTCAAACGCTAGCTGGCTATCTAGCAATGCCTCTAAGAATTTTAAGAGAAAATGCTGCAATTTAATTCATACTGTTGTCAAAAGGATGACTTGTAACATAATTAAACTGATTATTAGCTTCCTGTTTAGTGTGGCAACCAATTAGATTTCTAAATTAAGCTCGTTCCAATTTCCTATCTATTTAGCGTTGCAACCAATTCGATTTCTAAATTAAGCTCTTTCCAATTTCCTATCTAGACCTGTAGCGTTTTCATACCTATCTTATTAGATTTACGCATATATTTCATTTGACATTGTGCACTTTAACAGCACAAGGGACCCTTCAAGATGAGGATCTACGAGAGGGCGAACTTCGAAGGGAAGATGCAGGAGCTGACCGACGACTGCGACTCCATCCAGGATCAATACCAGATGTCGGACATGCAGTCCTGCAACGTGATGGAGGGATACTGGCTGATGTTCGAGCAGCCAAACTTCGAGGGCAGGATGTCTTATCTGAAGCCGGGAAAGTACAGGAACCTCAAAGAGATGAACAGCGAAGACATGAAGTTCAACTCCATCAGACGCATCACAGAATCTGTCTAATCCCTTTTAGCTAATAGGTTTTGCAGATGCTTTGTTTTATTTACATTAACAAGATGTGAGAGGCGATACAAAAAGATGAAGAAGCCTTGTTTTTATCCTGAAACTGTGATTTGTGCATTGTTTGCATGTAGTTCCAGTTGTACTGTGCAATCCAGCCACGATGAATTTACCTCTATACCTGTGTGATGGGCACAATAAAATGATTTACCGCATAATTATGGTGGATTTCTTTCAGCACACAACTTCCATAAGTCACTATCTGAGTCAAACAGGCATTTTAATTTACTTAAAGTGGACCTATCATGCTATATTTGAATAATATATTGTAGGGCCACACCTATATAAAACATGTCTGCGAATATACCAAACACATCATGCATTTTAGCCATACCTCATTTGCTCTTTTTTAGCCCTGTTTCTGCAAGGGCTGAATCTGTGAGAAGTCTTCTTCGCTGCTTTTGTGGCAGACAGCGCCACCTACAGGCCTGGCATATGTACTACATCGTCTCCAGCGCTTTCGAACGGCAATGGCCGTGGCTGTCTCCTCCTGATAGGTGGAGAGTTGCCCATATAGGTGGAGCTCCTCGTTTCTGACGTCAGAGATATTTCAAATCTGGATCAGTCTGTATCAGATCCGTTGCAGCACCGTTTTTAGAGATTTGGGTATGGAGGAAAAGAGAGAGGGTTGTGTTTTCTGACACTTGGTGAGTTCCCTGGAACACCGGGGACACATATTCATGTATAAAAGATGTACAAAAGTGCATTTTGCATCCCCTTTAAACAAGAATACAAATGCAAACTTGGGGTGAAAGCTGGTTCAGCAAATGTACAGCAACCCAAATGTGAATCTGTAACACATATAAAAACATAGATAAAGACTTCATATTGAGTTTATATGCAATCTATCTAAATCAATGATCTGATTAGGTGGGGGAGGATGATGTGTTTGCA